TGTTAGGGCATATAAGATTAGTGGTGGTCTCTGTTAACATAAGACTAGTGGTGGCCCCTGTTAACATAAGACTAGTGTGGTCTCTGTTAGCATAAGACTAGTGGTGGTCTCTGTTAGCATAAGACTAGTGGTGGTCTCTGTTAGCATAAGACTAGTGGTTGTGTCTTGTTAGCATAAGACTAGTGGTGTAGGTCTCTCTGTTAGCATAAGACTAGTGGTGGTCTATGTTAGCATAAGACTAGTGGTGGTCTCTGTTACAGCATACATTCAGTGGGTAGTCTCGTTAACATAAGACTAGGTGGTGGCTCTGTTAAACATAAGACTAGTGGTGGTCTCTGTTAGTATAAGACTAGGGTGGTGGTCTCTGTTAGCATATGACTAGTGGTGCCCTGTTAGCATAAGACTAGTGGTGGTCTCTTGTTAGCATGAGACTAGGTGGTGGTCTCTGTTAACATAAGACTAGTGGTGGTCTCTTGCTAGCATGTAAGACTAGTGGTGGCCCCTGTTAGCATAGCACTATGGGTGGTCTCTGTTAGCATAAGACTATGGTTGGTCTCTGTTAGCATAAGACTAGTGGTGGTCTCTGTTAGCATAAGACTAGTGGTGGTCTCTGTTAGCATAAGACTAGTGGTTGGTCTCTGTTAGCATAAGACTAGTGGTGGCTCCTGTTAGCATAAGACTAGCGGTGGTCTCGTTAGTATAAGACTAGTGGTGGTCTCTAACATAGACTAGTGGTGGTCTCTGTTAACATAAGACTAGTGGTGGTCTCTGTTAACATAAGACTAGTGGTGGTCTCTGTTAGCATAAGACTAGTGGTTGGTCTCTGTTAGCATAAGACTAGTGGTGGCCCTGTTAGCATAAGACTAGGTGGTCTCTGTTAACATAAGACTAGTGGTGGTCTCTGTTAACATAAGACTAGTGGTGGTCTCTGTTAGTATAAGACTAGTGGTGGTCTCGTTAGCATAAGAGACTAGTGGTGGTCTCTGTTAACATAAGACTAGTGGTGGTCTCTGTTAACAAGACTAGTGGTAAATTCTGCTAGTATAAGACTAGTGGTGGTCTCTGCTAAGACTAGTGGTGGCCCTGTTAACATAAGACTAGTGCGGTCTCTGCTAACATAAGATTAGTGGTGGTCTCTGTTAACATAAGACTAGTGGTGGTCTCTTAGCATAAGACTAGTGGTGGTCTCTGTTAACATAAGACTAGTGGTGGTCTCTGTTAGTATAAGACTAGGTGGTGGTCTCTTGCCAGCATAAGACTAGTGGTGGTCTCTGCTAGCATAAGACTAAGTGGTATCTGCCAATATAAGATCGTGGTCTCTGTTAACATAAGACTAGTGGTGGTCTCTGTTAGCATAAGACTAGTGGTGGCCCCTGTTAACATAAGACTAGTGGTGTATTCTCGCTAGCAAGACTAGTGGTGGTCTCTGTTAACATAAGATTCGGGGTGGTGGTCTCTGTTAACATAAGACTAGTGGTGGTCTCTTGTTAGCACATAAGACTAGTGGTGGTCTCTGTTATATAAGACTAGTGGTGGTCTTGGCTAGCATAAGACTAGTGGCAAGTCTTAAGCTACCATAAGACTAGTGGTGGCCCCTGTTAGCACAATGACTAGTGGTTGGTCTCTGTAGTAGCTAAGACTAGTGGTGGTCTCTGTTAGCATAAGACTAGTGGTGGTCTCTCTATATAGCACTCAAGTGGTGGTCTCTTTTACAATTATAAGACTAGGTGGGTGGCCCTCGTTACTATACACTTAGTGGTGGTTCCTGCACATAAGACTAGTGGTGGTCTCTGTTAACATAAGACTAGTGGTGGTCTCTGTTAACATAAGACTAGTGGTATCTTGTTAGTATATAAGACTAGTGTGGTCTCGTTAGCATAAGACTAGTGGTGGCCCCTGTTAAGAAGGAAGATCAGTGGTGGTCTCTGTTAGCATAAGACTAGTGGTGGTCTCTGTTAGCATAAGACTAGTGGTGGTCTCTCTGTTAACATAAGACTAGTGGAACCCTTGCCAGCATAAGACTAGTGGTGGTCTCTTGTTAGTATAAGACTAGTGGTGGTCTTGTTAGCATACGATTATGGGTATTCTTGTTAGTATAAGACTTGGTGGTGGTCTCTTGTTAGTGTAGTGATGGTTTGTCAGACCACAGCTTACATCGCGAGGAAAGCCAGACTTGACCCGACATTAGGGAGGTCAAAAGTATAGGGTATCTCTTGCGGCTGACCAGGGTTACAAATCAACTAGCTCCCCTCCCATGTGACATGTCACCACAACAGACATGTAAGAAGGCACCAGCCGACTCTCTTCCAATATACAATAACCTACTCTCTGAACAAAGGCCGGACCTGACCTCACATTAGCCAGGTCAAATGTAACCCTCGGAGCCCAACTCAAGGGGCCACAAATCAACCAGGGCCTCTCATGTCACACGGCCCCACCTGATGACTTCTCCAGAAAGTAAGTCTTACATCTCAGAAACTCCAGTCTGACCCGACATTAGGGAGGTCAAGTGTAGGGGAACTCTCACGGTTGCTCTCCCAATATACACACGGCCCCACCTGATGACTTTCCCAGATAGTTTCTGAAAAGTCCAGACCTGACCTCACATTGGCCAGGTCAAATGTAAGGAGACCCTTCGCCGCCCCCCCCCCCGACCAGCTGAACCTGACGGCTCGCATCCCAATATATAGGACGTCCTAGTCCTCCCTCAGTGAATTTGGCAGAGTGAGAGAGAAAGACACACAGGGATCGGAGGAGGAGGTCCACCACAGCCGAGTCCCGCTCACGGGAGGAGAGTCTTGCAGGACTTCCCTCCCCGACTTCCCTCCGGTGTCCCAGCTAAGCAGTCGCCCTCCCGACACCAGTGTCCCAGCTAAGCAGTCGCCCTCCCGACACCAGTGTCCCAGCTAAGCAGTCGCCCTCCCGACACCAGTGTTCCAGCTAAGCAGTCTCCCTGCTAGGCCTCCCCTAGGTCACGTGAGTGTTTGTCAGAGCTTTCCACGGGATGAGTTACTTATGTGGGAAGTGTATTCATTTCATGTTCGTGTCCGAGAATCAGTGTCTAGTAACGTAATAATGTCCTAGTAACTTTCAATAGAAGGTGTTATTAATGTATCCATGTCATGTTCGTAATTAATAAAGAGTTGTAATGAAGCAGTGTTTGAGAAGTCGCCTTTAAGAACGTAATAGATGTGTATTGACGTAGAAGATACGATAAGTGTACGATAAGTGTAAATAACTATCGCGGCCACGCTACCAAAGTCTTTCTCTCTTTTACTCTCTTACTAAATATTCTTCTTATATATATATTAATCATCTTTTTGTGAATATTTTGTAGCATTACATTAGTATAAGACTAGTGGTGGTCTCTGCTAGCAAAGACTAGTGGTCTCTGTTAGTATAAGACTGGTGGTGTCTCTGTTAACATAAGACTAGTGGTTGGTCTCTGTTAGTATAAGACTAGTGGTGGTCTCTGTTAGCATAAGACTAGTGGTGGGGTCTCTGCTAGCATAAGACTAGTGGTGGTCTCTGTTAGCATAAGACTTGGTGGTGGTCTCTGTTGGCATAAGACTAGTGGTGGTCTCTGTTAGCATAAGACTAGTGGTGGTCTCTGTTAACATAAGACTAGTGGTGGTCTCTGTTAGTATAAGACTAGTGGTGGTCTCTGTTAGTATAAGACTAGTGGTGGCCCTGTTAGAGTGGTGGTCTCTGTTAACATAAGACTAGTGGTGGTCTTGCAGCATAGACTAGTGGTGGTCTCTGTTAGTATAAGACTAGTGGTGGTCTCTGTTAACATAAGACTAGTGGTTGGTCTCTGTTAGTGATAAGACTAGTGGTGGTCTCTGCTAGCATAAGACTAGTGGTGGTCTCTGCTAGCATAAGACTAGTGGTGGTCTCTGTTAGCATAGATTGAGTGGTGGTCTCTGTTAACATAAGACTAGTGTGTACTCTGTTAGCATAAGACTAGTGGTGGTCTCTGTTAGCATAAGACTAGTGGTGGTCTCTGTTAGCATAAGACTAGTGGTGGTCTCTGTTAGCATAAGACTAGTGGTGGTCTCTGTTAACATAAGACTAGTGGTGGTCTCTGTTAGCATAAGACTAGTGGTGGTCTCTTTAGCATATGACTAGTGGTGTGCTCTGCTAGCATAAGACTAGTGGTGGTCTCTGTTAGCATAAGACTAGTGGTGGTCTCTGTTAGCATAAGACTAGTGGTGGTCTCTTTAGCATAAGACTAGTGGTTGTCTCTGTTAGTATAAGACTAGTGGTGGTCTCTGTTAGTATAAGACTAGTGGTGGTCTCTGTTAGCATAAGACTAGTGGTGGTCTCTGTTAGCATAAGACTAGTGGTGGTCTCTTAGCATTGTCCCCATATCATCCAGTAACAAGTGACTAAAGGTTGTGTTAGAACAAATCACTCAATCTGAGTTATGGGTAAGTGGCTAATGTTAATGAAATATTCTATTGCCTACAGTATTTTTTCTTTCCTTTTTTTTTTTGCAACTTGCTGTATCATTTTCAAACCACTACCCTCGACCGGGCAAAGATTAATATAAGGGGAAAAGTAAAATGGATGAAATTTACCAAAAAAATTAATAAATAAATTATACAAGATATAAAAAATACTGTATGTATATACAAAAATTATCCAAATTTAATAATTAAACAGTTCTTATAAATATTTTTGTTGCTCACTTAAAAAAAAATAGTGATTCAGAAACCAATATAACTGTACAGTATCATAAAATGCTCACCTAATATACAATGCAATAATAAACAACTGGAAATATTTATTAAAAATTAAGTGATGTTTAATGCTCAATCCACTTCAGCATGCTCATAATTGAAAGCACACAGACATACACACTTTTGTAAAATTGTCAAACTTTGGCAAACAAATTCATGTAAATTGGTGTCTCATCACCATTTTCCTTGTTAAAAATCAAATTAATATTAGTCCTACAATGTTACACTACAGCGCCATCACCCTTTTTTAATTCTTACCGCGGGAAATCATCAAAGAGTTCATCAAAAAAGTCACTGGACTGCTGATCCCTGAGTTTTTGTGGGAAAAAATATGATAAAATCTATGCTGCTTCCTTATGTTAAAATATTGCACAGCTATAACAAACTATTTTTAAATTTACCAATTACCAGTTGAGGAAACTACTGTACCTGTATACATATTGCCATGACTAACAAATTCGTAGAACTGATTAAAAGTTAAGCCTGTGAACAATAACTGACAAGCGAATTTGAACAAGAATTTAAAAATAGTTGCATTGTGCTTAGAAATTCACTGATTAAAACTGAAACCTGTATTAAGTCTTTGAGCCATCATAAATTTGTATATTTTACAAATCAAAATCTGAGACTACAGGTGGAGTGACATCAATGACCCTGGTAAACCAACTATCATTTTTACAATAGTAAACATACTATTAAGAGCATGATTCAAAGTACTAAATTAGTTCTATGCTTAAAAAAATCCCCTAACACAATGATTTGTGTTAGTTATAAACCACATTCTTCTACTTCCCGAGGGAGAAGCCTTGACAGACGAGTCTTCTGGCCATTGGTAAACTCGGATACAGCAGTAAGATATTGCCAACTTTGAGAAACCAGCAAAATTCCTAATTCCCCATTCCATAAATCTTCGAAAAAAAACTGGCCAGGTTTCATAAATTGAAAATTGAGCATGCTGAGTAAATGGTTTGTTCCTTTAATTTTAAAACAACCTGCTCTCAAACCCCTCTAAATGTCTCCAATGATGCCAAAGAAGGGCACTGTTGGTAAGAGAAAGCACCTCAGGTTCAGGCTGCTAATGAAAAGGGCCTCCATTATGTCTGAACACAACATAGGCTCATTTACTATCTATCTTATACTTAAGCCTGCAAATGGACTCCTACACGTTTCGCCTTATTTACTCAATGATCACCCTCTAGAAGTGGCCATGCCAAGGGAAGGAGGCCAGTGGCCTGTATAGGATCCCTCCATTGTTATTGATCACTTTGCCAATGGCTATTTTGAAGCCCAGTGCTGTTCATGACTTCACAGCTTGGGCTGGTAAAATTTTTAATGTCTACCACCCTCTGTGTGGTATTTGTTCTGCAAAATATCTTGGCTTTTAAGTTTGTCATCTCTTTAAAGATTTTTAATGTTTCTATGAGATCTGCCCTCTTGTGTCTTGTTTGAAGAGGTTAGTCCTAAGACCTTCAGTCTATTCAGTCTACTTGGATAATCAAGATGGTATAGTTCTGGAATCATCTTAGTCACTTTGTAGTGCACCTTTTCTGGAGGTAGTGTTTCCTTGTCTGTACATCCAGACTAGAATGTACAAGAAACTTACATTTCCCAATCTTTGTATTTGTAGGTACTGTATGCCTTATTATTCCAAAATCTCGGTTGGCCCTTTTCACTGCTGCTCCCAAGTTTTGCACTGCCTTCAGTGACTAAACTGTCACAGTATCCAGGAAAGTGTAACTAACAGAAAAGTTGTAATTAGGGTTGTTGTATCCTCCGTGCAGACTAAGATTTTGTCAAATTAAAAAGCATTTGCCAGTCTAATGACCATTTGAACAGCTAGTGCAAATCTCTTTGCATTGTTGCAACATCATGTCGACTTACTACCTTCCCAAATATCTTTGTGTCGTCTGCAAATTTGACAATGTTGCTCAATATATTTTCATCGATGTTATTTATGTAGATCACAAACAGGGTGGGTCTTTGTGGTACTCCACTGAGAACCTTTTTCCATTCTGAATGTACTCCATTTATGATCACTTTTTGTTGTCTGTCTTCAAGCTAGAGTTGTTAATCCACTTCAATATTTTGCCTGCGATGCCATGTACCTGGATCTTGGCTAGCCATACAGGAGGGATTTTGTAAAACACCTTAGAAAAATCCAGGTACAGTACAACACCTCCATTGGTAGACCTTGATCCATGTAGTCAGTTACCGTTTCAAGGAGAGTGAGTAAGTTTGCCTGTATGAATGTGCTTAATTACTGACGTAGGTTAAAATATATGTAGCTTCTGAAACATGCTTTCAGTTACATACAGTACCTAACAATATTCAGTTACAGTATACTCAATCCATCTAATACTTACATGTTGTTCCTATGGCAGCACATTGCCAAAGTAAGGAGTGCTAGTAAAACAAGCATCACCACGAGAGGAATGAGAATAGTATGGACCACATCAAAAGTGTATGAACGTTTCTCCACCTGCAAAAAGAAAACAAATTACCCTCTACATTATTCATTAATTAACTACAGCATGTATTTACCAGTAAACTGTATATTTATTCAAAAGGAGAATCCAAATTTCAAGACAAAATAAATGATTCAGTTTGCACTTTGTGAAGTATTTTTCTATAAGTAACCTAAATGCAGTATTTGAAGATAACAATAAAAACTATTACAAATAACTCCAACATACACTCCTCGCCATTGCGTTATGTGCGAGGTGGCCGACGGGAAGTGATCTTTGCTGAAGTGTCTCGCACCCCTCCATGCCAGCCAGCTGAGGCTGAGGCAGGCATTGTAAGTCTGGCAGCGAAGGGAGACTCGAGGACAAGTTAGCCAGCAATCAACACGTTAACCAGTTGCCACGTAATTTTGTGAACGAAGATTTATGAGTTTTACCCCCCCCCCCCGACATTGCTCCTATTTATTGCCACAACGCCCGTTGTTTCTTTGCTTTTTTTACCACAATGGGCAAGAGGAAAGATTTAACAAAAGAGCAGATAGCGTCAATTATTAGTCTGCATAAGGGCAAGAAACCTGTAAAGGAAATATCAAGAATTGTTGGTGTGAGTGAACGATCAGTTCAGATTTGGATTAAACGATACCAGTGCACAGCAGGCGGCCACGGAAGGCTAAAAAAAACTTCCCAACGCACGTTAACTGTTCTTAAGAGGCAACTTGATGCTAATACATGTCTGTCAGCATGGGAATTGAAAGAAGAAACTGTACTTCTTGGTGATGTTTCTGTAAGGACCGTTCACCGCCACATCCATGACAACCTGCAGTTTCGCACCCACCGAGCATGCATAAAGCCACTCCTCACCTTTGTCCAGAGGCAGCGTAGGGTTGCTTTTGCCAAGGCTAACGCTCAGTGGGATACGACCAAGTGGCAGCACGTGCTGTGGAGTGACAAGGCAACGTTTTCTTTTACTGGAAGTTGTACTTTTAATGTGAAGAGGTGCCCCGGGAGTGATTCACTTGACCCCAAGTTCACTTTTAGCACAGTTAAGCATACTCAGTCACTAATGGTGTGGGGCTGCTTCTCATACTTTGGAACTGGTGTTCTTGTTGTGCTACCTAGGAATGTGATGATGAACAAATTTAACTACTTGGAGCTGCTTTATGATTATTTGCCCGGGTCTTTTGAAAATTGCCGCGCTGATGTGTTTATGCAGGATGATACCCCATGTAACACAGCAAAATCTGTAATACAATGGCTTGTTGACTGTCAGGTAGACTTCATGAGTGATTGGCCAAGCAATTTGCCTGACTTTAACCCAACAGAAAATAAATGGAGTATTAGCAAGCTTTGTCTACAAGACAAGGACACAAATACCGTCCCCAAGCTGGAGGCAGCCATTCGTGAGGAATGGAATAATTAAGACCTACAAATAATCCACAACTTGGCCGAGTCAGTTCCTTCATGCCTGCAGGAGTGTATCAAGAGAAAAGGGAGGCCTATAGACTACCGGAAGTTTCTTAACTTCTCAGATTAACTTTTTATTAATATTTCATCTTGTTTATGTTCATCACGACCCCGCGCATAATACAATGACGAGGAGTGTATACCTTGATTGAGTACCTGTACAGGCATTCCTCAATTTATGAATGGTTCCTTTCCTGGAAAACTTTTTTGGAGTTGATTTTTTCATAGACCGGATCACATTTTCCCATATTCTCTCTTTATTGAGGCACTGTACAGTGTTTATGAAGAAAAGGTCCTAAACTCTGGTGTTAATGCTAGCCCACCACCCAGCTTGCCAAAAACAAACTCATGAGTATTGGAAAAAAAACTTTACAGTTAAAATGCTAATAGAGGGCACAACTGTGATTATCGCGAGTGCCTACTGGCCAGTATTCGGCTATAACGAGGCCTTCAACCATCTCCTCCTCTTGGGGAAGAGATGATTGTGCCAGGTTCTCCACATTTGAGGCTTGTGGTGAAGGGAGGTGGTTACAGGGGGGCAAAGAGGATAAAAGTAAAAGTATGCAAAAGGATATGATAATTTAGTGTAAGAAATTTATACTGTTTTAAGTTTCTGTGCTCATATTTCACCTTTCTGTCATTATTAGAGACAATTTAGGGCATAAAAAAGATGGAGGGTGTGGAGGAATGTTCTGGGTTGTATCTCAATTTATAGCATGGGTGTCTTTTGGAAATTGGAGTAATATCTGCTGAACATACATTCAGTTAACATAGGGGTTTTGAAGAATGAATCATGTATATTAACTGGGTGCTGATTGTATTGAAAATATGTAATGAAAGGCACCTGGTCATTAGAAAAAATTTATGTACAGTAGAATGTCGATATAACACGAAGTATGTTCCAAGAGAGGTCGCTTTAAACTGAATTTGCACTAAATAGAAGTGTTGTTTCAATGGAATAATTTATTTTGGTGCTTGAGAGAAACACAAAATAATCAAAAAGACTGAGTGTCTACCTGATATACCTAAGCCCATCTCCTAGAATAAACAAAATATTGTTATTTGTAGTATTATGTTAAAACAAACACTCATACATAAACACAGCTAAAATTAAGGGATGCAAAATGGTCTGTTTACTGGCTGGGAAGATTGGGGGGGGGCGTGAGGTGATATGTTGGCAGTTGATGCCAAGGTCTATTGCTTATTTATTTATCTGTCCTTAAGAGTGACTAAGTTTTTCTCTTATAAAATGTCACTGAACTGACCTGGGAGAATATAATTAACATTGATGAAATTTTTATAAGATAGTGATTAGTTTGAATATATACATGCTATAGTTTGCATTAGACATACAAATTTTAGTTTTAATTAATTTTATTACAAAAGGCTAATTTTTTTATCTCTTGTGCAAAATATATGTTGTTTACCCGGTATATTAAAATTATTCGCTATCTTGCAAGGATTCTAGCAATGCAAATTATATTCTCCTAACTTTAGTCTGTGATATTATATAAGATAAAAACTGTAAACCTATAACCACCCAACCCTGGCTGGGAGGATATGGTGGGGAGGGGTGACAGTGACACATTTGACAGTTGGGGCTGAAGGTCTAGTGAAGTATTTATTTGTTTATTTATGTCCTTTAGATTGAGTTTTTGTTTTCTGTTTATAAAATGTCACAGAAGTGACCAGAGTGAATATAGTTTACATTGCTGGAATTCTTATAAGATAGTGATTAATTTGAATATAATTAAGCTTTAGTTTGCACTAGACAAAAATTTTAGTAATCATTTACTACATTATTTTGGGTACATGTACAGTACAGCTTTGCCCTTAGGACAGTGTAGCGCGCCTAGAGAAACATTAGGTACGAATTTTAAAATGTGCTGCGCCAGATTGACTCACGCAAAATAGGAAAGATTCGCTTTAAATTAAAACATTGCCCTTAATTGTGGGTGTCGCTTTAAACCAATAAACTTATACCCGTGTATTGAATCACTTTAAATCGACAGTCTGCTGTACAGTACAAGTATTTAAAAAAATAAATAAATAAATAAAACAGTGAGAAAGAAAGACATAATATAATGCTGTAAAACATATTACTGTACAGTGGACAATGTGCTTAATGAGTGTACAGCATTCCAAGCCACCAAACAAAGAAAGTGGTTAGTGGCACCATGGGAAACTCAATCCAAACTAATAATAAAAAATCTCACCTGATCTCTCCTCTGTAAATAGACACGTCCTTCATTTTCTAGAGCAGATATCACAGGAGACTTGGGTCCCTCATCCTCCCCACTGGCATCTTCTCCAATCATCATATTCTTTTTGTTCTCGTACTAAAGTAGATAAAAAAAATCTCTTAATTCCTTATAGTAATGAGAATAAAACTTCATACATAACTTTACAATTGGAACTACAAAATAAAACTCTAGTAACTATTCCTAAACTGGATCCCCACTACCATTCAAACGAGCAGGCACTCCACATTTTGTCATTACAGGCAGCTACTCTACCATTTATGTAGCTTCCAGGAAACTGGTATTTTTCAAAGTGGCTACTTTTGAAATTTGCTGGGTTCGTAGTTTGCTAGCTGGGTGCTTTGTCTTGACTTTGGTGGTGCCACGCTGGGGCATACTAGCCACACATTAAAAGAACAAAAGAAAGTTTCTTTAGATAGGTGCATTAGTCTGGCTGAGTAATTAATTTGGGGAATGGAGCAAAAGAACTTCATTAATGAGCAGCATATGAGGTGCGCCGCATCATATGAATTATTTGCGGCAAAATTTGAATCCGAGAAAACCGCGTTTAAAGTTTTTCTCACTTAAAACATGCATAAGTAAATATGTGTGTGTGTGTGTGTGTGTGTGTGTGTGTGTGTGTGTGTAGACACACACACACAAAACACATACAAATAAATAATAATAGGAAAATACTCTCACAAATAATCAGAAACAAATTTATTACAAACGTGAGTCTATCCTCAAGTCCGTGCTTTATTAATAAAGTAATACAGCACGGACTTGAGGGTAGACTGTCACATTTATAATAAATTTGTTTCTGATTATTTGTGAGAGTATTTTCCTATTATTATTTATTTGTGTGTGTGTGTGTGTGTGTCTACACACACACACACACACACAAATATTTACAATACAGGTAAAGAAAATTACTGTCTCTTAAACAAATGGCTCCCTGCCCCAGCTGCGAAAAAGATGGCAACTTTAAAACTACCCACAGACATTCTTGAGTACATCTAGGGTGTCATCCGCGAATAATAAAGGACCGTGAAATAAAAGTCCGTGAACTTAGGGGGCTTCCTGTACCTGTAACACAACTTTCAACTGAGTTTGTGTTATCCAGAGAGATTAGAGAGCCAGCAACTGCCTAGCTCACACTACAGACAGGCAATGCCCCACAAAGGGTCACAGCTCAAGGTTGAAGAAGCCACAAGTCCAGAAAACTGTGAGGGCAAACTTTTTCGATGAGAGAATTGTGAACTCTTGGAACAACCTACCAAAGAGTGTTGTGATGGCACCGACTGTGAGCTCTTTCAAGACCAGACTTGACAAGCACTGGAGCAGGTTCAGATACATTCAGGAGCCAGTGCATACCCAGTACTTGCTAACAGTGCTTAAGAGAGATGTGACCGACCACCCAAGCAGCTAAGAAGTCAATCAGTGGTGAAGAGGATTAAAAAAAAAAAAAAAAGTAAAGAAGTGTGAGTGAAAGCAAAACTTGACATACATATATAAAATGTTAATCTCACTTAGACACACACTATGAATCATTAATTAATCGAAGCAAGCATTTACCAGCTTGAAACTGCACCAATCAACTGCAAAATTCTGTTGTCGGAAAAATCTCTCATAGGAAGTTTTCTTGAAGTATGCTGGACATGGCTGGTGGTGCCACAATGGCTCAACTTCCTTCTCTAATTCAAGTAAAGCAGCAGAGAAAGGCACTGAACTGCCATAGCTCACATACACTCTGTAAAGGAAAAGATTAACAATAAGTAAGGCAAAACCAAAGAAAGGATTGCACTGATATTTTAAAAAGTAAATTCTGCTTATACTGTACTGTACACCATCATCATTGTTGTACAGCCATTTTCCAAACTTGTGTGGGTTATAGAAACAGTTTATTTAGTCAGAAAAATACAGATACAGAGTCGATAATAATAACATTATTGACATGGCTAAGCCTACTGAGAGCCCGAGCTCACCATGTTACACAGACTCAGTCTCGCTAGACAGGTTCCTGTCATGTTTTACCATCATATATTCGTGGGAAAATAACTGTCGACACACAGATGCCAGCCACCCTGACGCCTCTCCCCCCTGCATCACAAAGCTCAAGCAAAAGAAGGCATCACCTATCAATCAAAATCAGGTTTCTGTGATGTGACGTCATGAGCCCGTGATTTTCCCACAATGCAGGCCCATATTGGCCCTGTCGGGCTGCTCCTGCAGCGCACTCTCTAGTACTCACTTCACACTCACTCACCCCTCAGAGCTACTCTCTGCTCTCATCTTCCCTCCTTCAACAGCCTGTGAGTGGACTCTTTTCTTTTTCTTATCATATTCGCCACCTATCAGCTTACTAGCCAGTCTCTGCCTAGCGTCTGCTACATTACAGCTAAGTGATCTTGTGTATTTTACCTCTATCATCTAAGTGACTTTTTCAGCCTTATGTGCTACTTTGATAATTGGGTGATACTTGTATATCATTATGTGACATGTGTTCTTGCCAGTGATTTGTTATCATTATGCCTCATTTAGTGTATTAAAGTTACCAGGTCCAAGACTATTAATTATATACTTTATAAGTGCCATTATATGGGACCACCACAGTACTCTTATTCTTTTGTCTATTTTGTCATTATTTACTCTTTTAAATACTTGTGCATTTGACTATACCTGTCATAGGAATGGCATTTTGTCATGACCCAGTCTATCCAGTTAATGCAATTTGCATACAGTAGGATCTCGGAGTATGTCACGCACCACCAACACATGGGGGTATAACTACAAGCTTGCCAAGTTATCATGCAGAACAAACATAAGGAAATACTTCTTCGAACAATAGGGTGATGACCTATGGAACAGTCTAGCAGTCCAAGCTGTGGAATCAAGAACAGTACTGGGCTTCAAAATATCCCGACAAAGTGACGAAGAACAATGGAGGGATCCTACATAGGACACTGGTCTCCTTCCCTCGGCATGGTCACCTTTAGGTAAGTAAGGTAGGTAAATAAACAGCTCCTTCCCTTCTCATAATCACCTTCTAGGTGACAATATTACACCAACATAGAGATAGACAGGCACAAGAGTGGCTGGCTGATCAGTTATTTGCTTATGTAAAGAAAGTACAGTACTGTACTACAAATTTAATACAACTCAATAACTCATCTGGCAATGTGTGGGATTTTTTCAGTAAAAGAGATTATTTTACGATAATGTTTTATTAACCTGGCACCAAATGAATCTAAATACAGTAATGTAAGATTTATGGTAAAATTGCCTACTGTCATTATAAAGGTGTCAAGATGTTGCACTCCATAAGCAGAAAGGAAGGGAGAGGAATTTTTGTTCCAGCCAGCCACTTCCCACTCGTTATTTTTCTTATTTTATAGTTTTATATTAGTATACTAATTGCTTTATTTATAAGTAACATTAAAGCAATGAAATGATATTTCCAAATTTTTAACGATTCTTAAGTAAATAAACACTGCAGCAACCGACTTATAATTATTATTGCAAAATATAAAAAAGACGTAGTATTAGAGGCACCCACGAATTTAAGAAAGTTAATTTAAATTTTGCAAATTATCACTACTCCACTGTATAGTATACAGTATACTCAAATATTTTTTCATCTACAAATAGTCAACCAAGTATTGTGTATGAAAACTTTGAGGATAACTAATACAGGTACTGTATATACATACTGTGGGCATAACCGACTTTAACACACTTGACACTTACCCTTCCTTCTCATCTGGGCTGGCAGGTAATCGATCACCACGTTGAGTAGCAGAAGCAAGGGATGTCACAATTAGGTCATCTGCACTCTCTTGCCACAGATCATTACTTATCACTTGATGCAATCGATCCCAACGTCTTCCTACCAACAGCTCCTCAACATTCATATTTTGTATCTTAAAGCGCACTTCATACGGCTTACCTGTGGATAATATTACTCTATCATACAAAAATACTGCACACCATTGATGCATAAAGGGTACTAATAGCAACTGTAATTCCCATACCAAAAATTTACAATTTAAAAATTAATGCCAAGAATGAAATCACATTTTATAACCATTTTATCAAGGTTCTACTCATCATAAATCAACAAAAGACAAATAGGAAATAGGTAAACCAAACAGATGTTATACAATTAAGCACGGGTGACTTCTATGGAGGCCTTTAAAAGACAACTTTTAACCTTTCCTTTTTTGGAAGTTTATGACCCTGAACAGATTACAGTGATAGAGAATTACAGGGTTTAGGAAGTATTAAACTTAAGGGTATATGAATGATAAAAGTGGAACTATCACTTTTTGTGATCTTTTATTGTAGTGCAGTACTATTTCTTTTTTCTCATGTCTTTGACTTTGTAGTGTTTCGAGCACTAGTGAATTCTTTGGAGGAACTGGTGCTTTTGAGAAACAAAAGACCAACTATTATTATTACAGCTGTATTATTATTATTATTATTATTATTATTATTATTATTATTATTATTAAGATAAACACAAAACTGAAGGTTTCAATATACAGTACTGTACAAGGTACTGTATAACAAAGACAAAGAGATTTATGAGATTCCTGCATTAGTATATCCATGGCAAAACCTGCCTTGTATATCATAACAAGTGGCACTTATTGGTTTTAGCATTTACCCACAAATCTTACCTCCACCTCCACACAAAAAAAATTATCTTCAATTGCAAATGACAACACAAGTGTTACACCAACTACCACTTTTACTTTACCAGAACAATCTTGATGACTTTATGAATTCACTGCCTAATTTGTCATTCAACAAACAAAAACCCAAATGGTAACACTGTGCTTGTTACAGTCATGACCCGACACGCCTGACCAATTCAGTTTAAAGTGATGCCAACTGCCAATATCATGAGTTAGCCTGGTGTGCAGCCTGTAGACTTCATGGCTAAAACTGTGTGTCTCACTGGACCAATTTAAATCACCGAATCTATATTTCAACATACTGAAAAAATTTTAAATAGAGAAAACTTACTGGCCTGGTCTAAAACTTCCATTTTAAAAACATGATGGGATGTCTCATAAGTGTGTTTGTCTCTGGCTATCACCTCTACCTGTTAAAATAAAATAATTATTACTAACTTGGTTATGTTATAAATAAAAAAAATTTTTAGCTCTATTATTTCATTTTTAATGATCAATATAAAGGCAAGTAATCAGAGCAATACAATACTGTACTGTATCCAGAAAAAAAGATCATAAGTGTTTTATGTAAATGAATGACAGCATTTACAGGTAAAAAAGTTAATTGATCTACAAAAATACTGCACTTCATGACTTCTTGGACTTAATCCTGCCCTAAGTAAAAGTACATTATAAACTACTGTACAGTATATCTGTATAACAAATATATTATAGGGTATGTGTGTGTGTGTCTGTATGTTCCTTATGCATTTCCACAGTTTTGAAGAACAACTGAAATTTGGTAGGGAAGTGTTGGTGGCTTAGTGGATGGGTCAGGCATTATCTCCTGTCCCACCATGAGGGACAACACAACAACATTTTAAAGTTATGAATTCTGATACTGTACTGCACATACCTGAAAATCATGAATGCCTTCAGGAGGGACTCCATACACAAAACCAGTGTGCACACCAGGAGAATATGTATAATGAAGCCAACTGGGAAGATCTGGCATGTTCAGCAGGCTAGGCCGGTATGTTACACCTGTGTGACCATTATATACTGTATACAGTAAGTGAAAAAATAATGACCATTCATAAAGACTCTAAATGGAATAACATCAGTCTGTGAGTAATACGGTAATTATAGTGTTTTCCTTAAAATATGATTGTCCTTAATTTTAATGGCTCGTGCAGGATTCCAGGCATAACCCAAAAGATTGATAATCAATTCATGAGACAGCTCCTATAAAATAGAGCAGATTTGTGAAAAATTCTTGGGCTTTGTGGTAAAGGCACCAAAATTGGCACAGGTCATGTTTAATATGTACTAAATGATTTCAGATATACGTATTGTACAGTACTGTAATTATATACTATATTTCTTATATTTCTAAGTCACATAGAGTACTAACATCCCACATCTTTTAGTTTCATTACATGAATCTGTGACAACATGCATAGCCATCTCGAAGGCCACAGCTGCAGTGACATGTGTTGTGTAGAGAAGATTATGCGGGTGTGTATGGGACCCACTTTCACTTGAGATAAAGTGGATCACACTTACAATATGCTTTCAATAAATTCAGAGTTCCAAATATTTCTGCATTATCTCAAGAACAGAGCATTTACTGTCAATCATGGCTAGCACATTTGAGTTTATTCTTCATGGTAAAGTGCTTTCTGCTCTTTGGGGCCTTACCCAAACATACTTGCTTCAGCATTATCCTCACATCTTCACTGAATAATAGCCACACGGAGACTGAGCAGTGCAGCTGTGTTGTTGTGATGTGGGAAGGGCTGGCGGGACCAAGCCACATCGCTCCACAACAATAACAATGACCCACAAAATATATATACAGTACTGTATATTTTTTAAATATTTAAATAATTTTTTCCAAGATTGGTGTTGTTATTCGGACACGACGTTACTCAGGTGGTCCAGCACTCAGGGATTTTACTGCACTGTAAACTATGATTATATTACAATTATACTATAAATATTAATTTTATGAAACAAGACTTAGTCTGTCAAAGTAAAATTTATATTAACTTAATAATTTGAGTGACAACGTGTAACACAGTGATATCATTTTATTGCCAGACTTTTTGTTGGAGAGAGCTGATGCCCCTGTCGAAATCCAGAGCTACCTACACCACCGTGATACAGGACAACTTAGTTATATCAACGTAATTATGACTCAAAACGGTCAAGAGCCTCAAGTGGACTTCATAACCCTTCATGTGGAATTTTAGCTAAGTATCTGACAGTTCTGTAGGGAAAGATTAATTATGTATGAGTGGGGTGGAGGGGAAAGTAAGCCTCCATTAACAAAATTTGATTTAATTCTATTTTCAATTTAACAGACAGTACTGAAATTCAATTCTAACACTCCATCTGATTTTGCAAAATATATACAGTACTGTACACTGTAATCGTGATGTCATAAATTATCCTTTACCATTTTGTCTCAATATATGCTGTCTTTGTCATATTGTCACAAATTTCATAAAATTTAATTTTATCACACAAATTATATTTTTGTTACACTCAATTTTTTTCAAAATTTAATTTGCCAATTTAGTTTAAGATAGGAATGAAGAGTTGAGCAAGTTCTGAAGCTGTGCATTTATTTTCTAATTCTTCTTTTAATCATTTTACCACTTATCAGCTTACTAGTGTTTGGGAGGTTGGTCTATCCAGTGTTAATACAGGAGTAAACCAGAGTCTGGGAAACCTGTGATGTTTGGTAGGTTCAAGCAGGACTAGAACTCTTGACATAGTAAGAGACATGTGCATTACCACTCTACCACCAACACCCCTAATGGAAAATTTTCAGTGCTGCCAATTTCCATAACTAATTTTGCAGGTTTCTTAAAATGCACACAAAAATTACTCTCAGAACTGAAGAACACCCTGGAATAGATTTGGATTCCAGTCCACCATATCTGAAGCCATATCCAGTAAGTTTATAAAAATATTATTCCATAATGTTTATTCACTGATCAAAATGGACAGAAAAATTCAATTACCTGTTCTATATTCACAATAAGAACTTAAATAACTAACTAACTCTCAAGGTACAGTATAGTACAGTACATGTTAATTATTAGTCTCACCTGCTGTTGGCAAGCTGAAATTTTGATGTGTGAGGGGCAGGATGAACAGCTGAGATGACAACACCTCACTACCCACACATATGTCTGGAGAGCCTAATAATAGGCACAACACTCCAAGCCACATCAGCATCCTGTGTTGGTAAGAAATTACTGTATTGTAAAGGTAAGGCAATCACCACTGCAATATACAAAGAAGACTGCAAAGTTTATAAATACATATGTACAGTACAGGAGATTAGACAGCTGGAACTTCATGTAAGGCTACATGTGTGATAACACTAGATAACCAGGAGGTGGGAAACAGTTATTGGACCGTTCTTATATACTGTAGTACAGCTAAATCGCCTAAAACTGATATTCCAAAAACTAGTTCCACCCAAAAACCAGGCTATTAACCCCTAGGCCCAGGGTGACGTTCCAGAGCATCCTCCTAGCACGCCCCGGGTGACATTCCAGAACGTCCGCCTATTTTCCCGTTTTTTTTTTTTATTGGAAAAGTTGCTTTTTTTGTTCAATCCAAAATGTGATGCCTAGCTTATACCTAGGTATGTTAATGTCTAGCAATAACTCACCAGGCCAACATACAGGCAATTAAAACATCTAATAATTACTTAATAAATAATATTAGGACACGTCGTTAACTGGCGTTTACTTGCAATTCTCAAAATCCCCTCCCTCACCCCCCATCACACACACTGCCACCTTCATCTTCTTGCCTGGTGAATCAGCTGTAAAGACACACAAAGGCAGCTCCGCGAATTTGTGTTGTAATAACTGAAATACTAAGTGCCACGAGGATTTTATATACGGTATTTATACATCTTAGCACAGTGAGGAAATCGAGTGACTTTTATTCTGTTTGTCTCTCAAATATTGTGTTTGAGACAATTTCTTATACGACCTCTGGTCAGCATCATGGCAACCACAGCGCGTCTTCTATTATAAAGTCGCTAGATCGTTAGTGACAAATATCCTCTGCTTTCAAGTCACTCAGCGAATGACGTTGTGCGGCACTACTCAGTCGAGTGTCCTTACCTGGAGCTGGCGGACGCTGGCCCCCACAAGGGGTCACAGCTCAAGGTTGAAGAGGCAGCAGGTCCAGAAAACTGTGAGGGCAAACTTTTTCGTAGTGAGAGTTGTGAACTCTTGGAACAATCTGCCAGAAAGTGTTGTGACGGCACATGAGTGAGAGCTCTATCAAGGCCAGACTTTACCAACACTGGAGCAGGTTCAAGTACATTCAGGAGACAGTGTATGCCCAGTACTTGCCAACAGTGCGTAACAGAGACGTGATCAATTGCCCAAACGGCTAACGAGCCAATCAGTCGTGAAGAGAATAAAAGTAAAAGTAATACAGTACAGTATTTGATCCTTGGCCTGCTCACATCATGTATTCCAAGTAACAGTTAAATCTGAAGGACAACATCATGTGACAATGGCGAAATGTTCCAACTTGGCCACCATACCTTCCTTGTTAGTTATGATAAGATCCAGCAGTTTTGGGGTTTGTTCCCCTCTACAGTGAGTCAGATCTTTAATATGTTGGAATGGAAAATTGTCTCTTAAGAGTTACTACAAAAAGAGTTAAAGGGTTTTTAAGGTAATTTTGTTTCTCCAGTTGATGTCGCCATAATTGTACGGTAGTCTTCCATGATAAGGTGGCGGCTAGAGATGATGATGATGATAATAATAATAATAATAATAATAATAATAATAATAATAATAATAATAATAATAATAATAATAATAATAATAATAATAATAATAATAATAATAATAATAAACGGTTTATTAATTGAGTTGCAGCCGGTGGCTGAAAATATGAGCACTGTTGTGTTGTCTATTAAGGATCTTAAATTCCTTTAATTTAGTAAACGGCTATTTGGGATTCTATAAATACACCCAACAATGAGGCAAGGCTCGTTAGTTTAATTTTGCACCAATTTGATTCTTCAAAAACATCTTCCGCTCCACCCTCACCTAGCTGGCTCTAATGTCCCATTATAAATAACCACACCCCTCTTACAGGTTGCCCTAGATAAGTTCATAAATGAATTATAGTGTTATATATTACACTTAATCTTCTGGGTCAATTTTCTTACTATTTCAGGTTGATGGGTTTTAAGTAGGGTTTCAAACTCCACTCTCTTTTTGAGGAAGTATCAGTGTTTGTGTACATGACTTTCAAACTGGGAATAATCCTCAGTAATGGCTCTAAACTTGATGGTGGGTCTGGCCTCCTTTCTGTCTCAGCAGCTGCCTCATTTATTCTATTCATCGTACAGGTACTGTGTGCGGTGTGGTCAGATATATAATTATTTATACAGTATGTTGTACACTACCTCCTGAGTGTGAGGTCGAGGGGCTGGGGATGATTTGCTGTTCCCCCCTTGTCCATTCTTCTTGCTCTGTGTTGGTGAACTTAACCCACTACTTTCTCTTTGTTTATACTTAGTGTAAATCACCGGAGTCCATCCCTGTTTTTTATCGAATCCTCTCTTCTGCTTAAGGCTCACCAGGAGTTCCTTGTGTTGTTTCCCCTGCATTACTGTGTAGTCTGGACTTCTGAAAGTATTCTTAAAGGTTATATTCTATGCAAAGATTTTGTCTGTCAAATGATATCACACATTTTTCCTAGTTTTTACTGCAATTCTGAGAGGGCAGGGCTAATTCTCCTACTTTTCCCTAGCCTACTCAACTCTGTAAGGGGCAGCTGACAAATTCAGAACTTCTATACAAATATTTTGCAATTTCATTTTGTCATGTGCTTTCCTAGTTTCAGCTTCATCTAGCTAACTCTCAGGGACTCCGTACATGATTATATTGTCCCAATGCTCGAGACGATTCTAGAGCTCTTTCTCTCCCATTCAGTACTGGTTGTAATCTTTTTCAACATTTCTGCAGAGGCCCTTGATGCTGCATGACCTTTTTTGATCTTACATCCCTCTCAGCAACCTTTTGTGTCCTTTCCACAACCTGAACACAGTTTCTTTCTTATAAGACTTACTAGCTTAGTTGCCTGATTTACCTTTTTCTCACAATGGTCAGAAAACTTCAATTTATCAACATACATTCCCAGGTGTGTATGTTAGCATGTATACAGATTATACAGGAATATAATTCAGTTTGTACAATATACCTGTATAACAGCACATGTATAAAGACTATACAGCAGTGGTCCCCAATCTGTTGTATTGGCACCCGCGGAACCATATTATGGAACCCGTAAGGGTTTATTAGAAATTTTTAAAATATTCGGGATTCTTCGTAAGTGAAAATAATGAAAATATCTAATAACTTGATACGACTTTGTCGTTTGTCCCGAATCTGTCGTGTACAGGACGTGGGTATTTACCCCAGATTAGACCCAGAGAAAGGGAACCAGCCAGAAAGAGTAAATGTAAAAAGTATGAAACTGGTAACAGTTACATTTATGTAAAGCTGCAAATAACTGTATATGTGAGGGGTTTTTTCTTGAATGTAGATCCAAAGTTTTGGCACCCTCCACTATATTTACAATGTGGCCCAGAGCCTACAAAAGGTTGGGGACCACTTCTTTACAGTGTACATAGACTGTGGAGGGATACAGTTTCCTATGTACAGTCGGAAACCATGATCTCTAGCCCACCTGGGTCGGTGCTGGAGGTTAGTACAGCGTCCTTTCTGGACGGGAGCCCACTCTAACTATAACGAGGACTGTGTGTTCGTGTGTGTGTTGCCTCGTGATAGTTAGAGTGGGCCCCTGCCCAGAAAAGACGCTGTACTAACCTCCAGCACCGACCAAGGTGGGCTAGAGATTATGGTTTCCGACTGTACCTAGACTGTGCAAGTATAGAACAATGATAAACAGAAAGACAATTAGACCAAGGACAGCTAACAAAACCACCAGATACTAATTTCCAGTAGTCCCTTGCTTAGGCATAGGCTTGCTTACTAACCAGTAATAGTACCCTTACACGAACTAACAGTGGTTTGATTAAGTTAAGATGACAGCTAAACATTGAAAACACCATTTCTTGTCTGATCAGCAAAATTAAGCAACTTTGGGTCTGGTTAGTACAATACTTGGATGGGTGACCACCTAAGATCAAATGGTATTGACATACGATCTACTGGAAATAAGCATCTCATGACTTGTCACCTATCCTTGGTCATAATACCTAATATCAATTTTTATTATTAAGGTTAGTTGTTTTGATTAAATCCACAATATACTATGGACCCAAGCCATAAATCATTTTAAGTACCATGAGATAACTGTATTCATATACTGTATGTTGACAAATTAAACGTTCAAAAGGAAGTTAGTGACTTCCAAACACATTAATGACGCTAAATTAGACAAATCCAATATAACTAATAACTTTACAAAATTTTCAGATAAAAGCTTATAAGCATTAGTAATTTCTACGCTTCATAAGAACATGTGTCGACAAACCTTCCTCTATCAAACTAAACATTCACTCCAAATTACAAATGTCCTGCTTTAGTTAGCTCAGGTCAGACAGGTGGAGGTGCCCCAAGCGGCACCCTCGTCTAGTATACAGGACACGCCATGAACCTTAAAGTTATAGGATATTTATCGGTCATGCTGACTACTTAAAAATATATATATACAAATATTTATCTTATAATTATTGTTTTTTTTTATTATAACTTGATCATAAATATACCACATTCTCTACAATAGACAGTGCTTATCAATTATGAGTAAAAAAAAAATCTCAAATTTCCGAGGGCCATCTCTGGTCGAGTCTATCCTAAAGCAGACGACAAAGACAAATCGCTAATATTCATGAGCATTGAACCATTCATTGTTAAAATATTTATTCAAAGATGCATATTTCCTATTTTATTTTATTTTTATTGATTGTAACCTTCCATATTTATAGTAATTTTGGTGTATCCACTTTACTGGGTGGGACTGCTGGCTGACGCTCCTCCGCAGACGACGACCATCGGAGTGTTGTCAACAAGCTGATGTCACTGGCGGATGTCCTGTGATTGTCGTGACGTGACCAAGTTTCCCAAATTATGAATCGAAAATTATTACCGATACTGTTAACAGGGTTGTGTGCCCTTGTACCTGTGTACGGTGATGGCGAAGATGAGCCGAGTGTTGGGGTAGAACGGTACAGGATTGAAGGCAGAGTTGTGAGACCAGATTCCTCCATCGTCAGTCCGGCTGAGTGGTTTGCTAACACTAAAATTTTCACCAACAGTGGACATTACGGGTTTCTCAGGTAAGGGTGAAGATTCGTTGGTAATTATTTGGATCATGACCGTCCACTGATTTTCATTGAAAATAGGTTTACAAATACTAATTTTTGTTTTTATTAGGGGATACAATGTTATGTTGAAAAAAAATTCGCTGAAATCATAACCTAAGAAAACCTGACCTAACCTATATCTAGAAAGCTAAGCATTTTCATAAGAAAATGAATAGAACAGAGTAATATGTACAAAACTGTAAAAACACCTTCATAATTACTGAAACACTGACGTTCACAGTACGTTGTTAACATCTGCCGCATCACAGCTGAAGAAGCGACTAAGATGCTATCTTAATTCGCCTATATCTCGAAAACTAAGCATTTGCCCAAGAAAATGAATAGAAATTAAATTAATCAGCTTACAAAACCCTGTCGGTATTGTTTGTCATGTAGTGAATTTTGGTATTTTAAGTTTTGAAATCTGTAGTTTAGGCAGTCCTGAGATACTTTTCTTCTATTGCATTTCTTCCGCTCATGATTATTTTCCGAGAAAATCAAATAAATTGTAAGATTTATTTTTTATTTTTGAAGTTCATGTTGTTACCACCGTCTAGAAGAGCTCGTTGTTTTTTTTTTTTTTTTTTGGGGGGGGTGGGGGGTTACCTTTGCTACATTACACATGGAAGTTACTTGCATACAGTGTAACAGCCTTGTACAGTAATTACCGAGATGAAAAAAGGCTTTGGTTCTGTCCGAGAATAATTGTTATTCCCAAGTCTATGGTAACCATACAGGTAGTTAGGTTAGGGAAGATTCTGATCTTCATTTCTATCACAAATTACAAGTTTTTGTGATTTTCCCCCATCCGAAACCCCTGGTTTCCACTGGGGGTCCCCCATTATCAATGGATAAGGAAGCGGTAGCTAAAAGGCTAGTGATTTGCGGTAGAAATGAAAGTCAGAATCGTTAAAAAAAAAAAAATTGGAAAAACATAATTTCAACTTCCAAGAAGAACTTCGAGAAAATAAGAAAAAAAAATTTCCAACAATTTATTGTGATTTTCTCCCAAATTCACATTGTAGATGGGTAGTATCCATTTTGAATAATCCAGGACATGAATTGAAACTCATAAAAAAGTGATTCAACATAGAACTAACCGTCCTGCCAGTGGACATCAACATTTAATTTTATATACAATTGTCTGTTTTACAATGGGTTTGATATATTACAATTGTTTGGTTTTTTCCCCTGATGTGATTTTTGTCATTGCAGAGAAGATGGTTCATTTGTGATTAACAATGTTCCATCAGGATCCTATGTTGTTCAGGTCATGAACCCCACCTTTATTTATGAACCTCTGCGAGTGGATATTAACTCTAAAGGGAAAATAAGAGCCCGAGCTGTCAACCACATCCAACCATCAAATGTTGTACAGGTGAGACTGTATGATATGCTTTACATTGTCCCCCATATTTTGTTTTCTTTACAGACTTAGCATGAATGGATAATCACACCATTTTACTCTCCATAGATATTTTGCTAGTGTGATAAAGTGGAGTGAATTGGGTTTGCTTTTTGTACTGTCTGAATTACAGTACCCACTAAGTTGCTTCAAAAACTTCTCAACAAAATGTTCAAATTCACCAACCATCAGACACTTTGGGTAATGCCCCAAAATTGTCGAATTAGAGTATAATTACCAGAGTACACCCAGTTCACTGAACTATAAATGGACACCAATTTTACATTTAGGAAAGTAGAGGTAATAGAGTGGATTGTCAGCCATACAGTACTTGTTTACCAAAGGCTTAGTGTAGTCTGCTATATCCACATTACTTCAAATAAGGTGTCAGGCCTGTGGGACCCACTTTTCCTGTAATAGTGTCTTGTATTTATTAAATACATAATAATTAAAGTTTTTTTTATTCAGAGGTGAATTACTCTAGTACCCCAAAAGAGTAATTAAGAAAAAATATTAATTCAGTTTCTATCCCTTTTATTTTTTTTAGTCACCTTGTAATTTTATTTACTAATACAACATTTACTTACATGACAGATGCCCCATCCTCTTCGTATGAAGTCCATTGGACCATATCGGTATTTTCTGCAACGAGAGCAATGGCGCTTGACTGATACCCTTATGAACCCAATGGTACTGATGACTGTGCTACCATTGGCACTTATGATGATCCTGCCCAGGCTGAATGACCCAGAAACACGTAAAGAAATGGAACAAATTCAGATGCCCAAGATGGACACTCCAGAACTCTCTGAAATAATGACCTCAATCTTTGGAAGTGGTAGTTCCAACACACAGTGTCAGGGAAACCAGCCTAAAATGAGATCTCGTCCAAACAAACGCAAGGATAAATCATAGTAAGAATAGCAGCAGGTCCTTTTGCAAAGAAGGTTGAACAGAATAAAGTGATGGGAAAACACAAACAGTTCATCTGCATCATGGATTTATATTATTATATTACATTTGAAGGGTAGAAATACACTGTAACAGTTAATTTAGAGAAGTACTACAGGTTCCAGTAAATACTTTTATTTTAATGTACATTGCATTAATAAGATGACTAAGTACTCTTTCTTATTGGTAATTGTGATGTATTCAAGAAACCAGTCTTATTTTTTAAATTTAAAAGTTTGGTGTAGTTATTAATGTTAGACTCAAGGATCCAAGAAATCTGTTGGCAATCTTTTTAGACATAATTTAGATTTTATTTTCAGGGTGTTATTTTGGTGTTTTAATATTTGTTAAATTCAAGAAGTATATTTTGTGGGCAAGCATTTGAAGTTTAGTAAGCCTTTTTTTTTGTAAGAGTTTACAAAAATAATTTCTAGATGAAGAAAATTTAATCTCATTTAGGTTGACAGAGCTTTGTCAAGTGCTGTAAGTGTTCTACTAAACCTTATAGAGTACTTGTCTAGTAGGATAATTATTGAATAATTTTCATGTGTTAGAGTATGTAAAAGTATAGTGGATCATTAAAACAACACATAAACAAAAGGATTATTTTGTGAATTCTATAATGAGCCAAAAAGAAGTTTCATTAAATACAATATTCTGACAAATATTGTACAGATATACTGTATACAGAAGAATGAACAATTCATTACAACATACAGTATCTGGTCAGATTTAAAGACAACCAGTACCCAAAGTTATAAAACTTAAAAAAATAATTAACTCGAGCTGTGGTTGTCAAAAAAATAAATAAAAATTAATACAATACAGTATGGGATTCCACCCACAGAACACACATTTGACATCTGCAATTCTGGTAGCCTGTATGTCTTAAGACAAAGTACCACAACATTGATTTTGTTTACCATTTGACTTCTACTCGATGAGTAATGCATTCAGAAGGCACTGTAGATCAGCCCAAAATCACCCATATGGTACCATGGGGCAATGTTTAATTTGACTGCCATTTTGGATGTCATATTTGTAAATAAGCTGTTGTTAATCATCATAGGAAATAAGAACTATTGATATACTGTACATTTAATATTTTTTTTTGTCCAAGTTGAAATGCTTTGGAATTATGTTATTGTAAACTTCAAATTAGCACCATACAATACAGACTAGTCCATTACCTTGTTTTTAATTCCTTCATTAAACAAAAATTCACTTAAGTTTGGAAGATAAGAAATGATACTGATTTTTTAAAGACAATGCTGTGCACAGACCAAACTTTTAGAACTGTGAATATAGAGATCTGCTGTAATCTAATATGTACAGTCGGCCACAGGAATAAGTATACACAATGTAGCTGTAAGGTCCGAAAATGGTCTGGTAACGTTGAAACTGCGCATCCAGATGCATGGTGAAACTCAGCTCCCCCACCTGTTATCTCTAACTATTTTCTGTTTCCCCTTTATTCTTCTATTTACTCCTCTTCCTTCCTTTATTAATCCAAATATCAGTAAAAAAAAAAGTAGGGTAAGAGAAAAAAAAAAGGGGGAGGAGGAGGGAGCTGTACGATAACTGCAATCCCATTCGGCAACAAGTTTACTACCATTGGATACAATATATTATTTGTAATATAAACACAAGACACTAGTAAAACATTTATAACAAATATGTAGGAATAAAACAAATTACAGGTCATTTTGTAATTTTGTCTGTTCTGTTCACGACAGTGTTACTCAGATATTTTGTCTCAAACACGAACCGTAGGTGTATACTGTACTTATTCTTGTGGCTGACTGTACAACTGCAATAAATTATTGCTGAAAAATCCACATCACCAAGATAACAGTTGGTTGGTTCAAGTTGATAGCCAAGTAGTGTACATACACCATGCCCAGCTGCTGAACAACAATAGACTTATGAGATGTAGCAGCTCATGTGCTGCCACCACAACCACATACAGTACTGTAGTTGCTATATTTTGAGAAGAGATTAAACTTCAATCTATTTCTATACTAAGATTGCATGCACATGTGAAAACATTACACATTTAACAATGTAGATTAAGAAATCACAGGTTTTCCACCAGGAATGCAAGCCCATATACCAAAAGAATTTAAGATAAATACAGATGTCACTACCACTACATGTGATGTAATTAACAAATTAAAATCATGTGTCAAAGACATGCTTTAACACTCAGGATACTGAGGCTTCTCGGTAGTGGGCCACTCCAGTTGCCTAACTTACACTATAGGTGGGCAAGGGGTGACTTAATAGAAGTCTATAAACTCCTCAGAGGACATTACTCAGTCAAGTGTTCATACCTGGAACTGGTAGATATCAACCCCACAGTGGGGTTGGCTTTAGAGCTGTGTGGGCCCTGTGCAAAATGAGGACAATGGGCCCCCAAAATCTAATTTTTATGTAGAAATACTGTTTCTATAACATTGAAGAAATTCTGTGAAATATTTATAGAAAAATAAATAAGTTTTTCAAAATCAAACTTTATTTTTATAAGAATTAAGTGCTTAATAGCCTTTTAACAGGTTTCAATAATGCGAATCTAGTGTTGAAAAGTATCATGTGTATGTGTCCTCCCTGAAGTAGTAAGCACTTAACAAACAAGGCTCAATAATGCAAATTTTCAAATTTAGTACAGTATTGTACAGTAGTACAGTAAAATATTATATCCTCTCTGAAGAACAAGTCAATACATTGAGCTAAGTAGTGGAAACATTCACTTTATCATGAAATACATAACACGAACTGGGTATTAAAAAGTATCACTCTTACAAACTATTATCTTAACCCTTAGGCCCCGGTTGATATACCGAAACGCCCGACTGGCGTGACCCGGGTGACGTTCCAGAACGGACGCCTTTCCCCGCCACTGTTTAAATGCCCAGTGCGGGTCATCAGGTTCCAGTGTGACTATTTGCCTATCACGCCAAATGCTCAGCCACAGGGAATCTTCCTGAATGTAATATCTCGTTTGTTTAATTTTCATTGTTTGTCCATTTTATCATGTATCAAAGTAATATTGCTAAAAGTAGTGTAGTTGTATTGCCGTGTAGTATTACTGGAAAATAATGCTATGATTATATTATAAATGTATTATTTGTGGAATTATTATGATTTTATGCATTACTTGCTCTACCAAACACAAAGACAGCCTGGCGACCGACTGCGTGCGTGTTGCCGAGCACTTTTTATGAAAAATAATGCAAAGAAAATATTCTAAATGAATTATTTATATCGAATAAGTATTATGATTAGTAAATATATGCATTACTGGCCATCCCAGACACAAAGGCAAGCAGAAAATGGCCGCTAAGGGCATAGTAACCACAAGCGTCAGCTGTCAAAACAACACTGTCCCTTTATCTCCCTTGCCACTGCTGCGCCAGGGAAGTTTCTAGAGGGTCAATATATATTTTTTTTCTTACTTCTTTTATATTGTTTTATAATTTAAAAAGGTCAAAAATTATTTTTGGAAAAGTTCAGATTTTTCTCGATTTACCCCCCGCATGAAGGGACACGGCCAGCGGCACACTAGCCCAGGGCTAGGGGGTTAAAATATAATTTGAAAATTAATTTCAAACATGCAAGCTAGCATAGAGTCATAGACCATCATTTGTATTACAATTTGCTTTAAACAAACTGCACTCTGTGAACTTTCCGAGTTGCAAATGGACGAGTTGACGGTCGGAATTTTTTCGTAAGATGGCAGGTCAATGAGTAAAGAAAACGCTTAAATTCACTATGGTAATGATATTTTAAAATAAATTGTGCCAAAAATAAGGGTTAAAGTTGCTAAAAAGTCATGTGATTGCGAAAAGCTCTGTGATTGGCTGTGACGTCAGTGGGAGGCAGCCAGCTGTAGTTGTCCAACCTTCTTGGCTGATCAGATAATCAATTGTGCTTTATTGTGCAACACAGTAATACTATTTTGAATATATAAATATTACTAAGCACATAAACATTTCTTGATAAGAGAGAGGAGTTTGAAACACTACTGAATGTACACCAACCAGATACAGTATTGTGGGAGTTGTCGAACTGTTGTACAAGAACAGGAGAATCGACCCAAAGAAATGCGAGTTCAGTATTGCTGGATATGACTCATTTACGAACCTTTCTCAAGAAACTTGCAAGAGGGGTGTGGTTATCTATGCTAGGCAAGACCTTAGAGCCAGCCAGGCGAGGGTACAAGGAGCGCCTGAACTTGCCTAGCTTATACTACAGACGGGCAAGGGGGGACCTAGTTGAGGTTTATAAGCATCTCAGGGGGCACTACTCAGTTGAGTGTCCTTACTTGGAGCTGGCGGACGCTCGCCCCACAAGGGGTCACAGCTCAAGATTGAAGAAGCCGCAAGTCCGGAAAACCGTGAGGGCAAACTTTTTCGGAGTGAGGGTTGTAAACTCTTGGAACAATCTACCAGAAAGTGTTGTGACGGCACCGAGTGTGAGCTCTTTCAAGAGAAGACTTGACCAACACTGGAGCGGGTTCAGGTACATTCAGGAGCCGGTGCATGCCCAGTATTTGCCAACAGTGCGTGACAGAGACGTGACCGATCGCCCGGGCGGCTAGCGAGCCGACCTTTTGGTGAAGAATATAAAGGAAAAGAGTCGTGACCGATCGCCCAAGCGGCTAACAAGCCGATCAGTGGCGAAGAGGATAAAGTAAAAGTAAAAAGTAAAAGGATGTTTTTGAAGAGTCCAAGTGGTGTAAAATTAAATTAGAGGGAGGGGAATTACTTATCGTTGGGTGTATCTACAGATCCCCAAACTGTGGCCCACTAAATCAAAGGAACTTAAGAGCCTTAATAGACAATGCAGCGATACGCAACCCTAGTCACCTCCTTATCATGGGGGACTTTTAACTATGGCGACATCGACTGGAGAAACGAGTACACCCCAAATGACTTGAATAACCCTGCTACTCTTTTTGTAGAAACTCAGAGATAATTTTCTATTCCAACATGTTAGAGACCCGACACATTACAGAGGGGAGCAAACACCCAAGCCACTAGACCTCATCATAACAAACGAGGAGGGTATGGTGGCCAAACTGGAACACCTTGCCCCAGTTGTCATTCAGATTTAACTGTTACCCAGTTCAAGATAAGGCCAGGCCAAGGTGCAAATATTACAGGGGAAATTAAAACGGGATGAGGGAAGAGGTGAGGGGTATCAACTGGCCTGACTCATTAAGGCACATGAACGAAGACACTACGCTGAATATCATAACTAGTAAAGTGACCCATTTGATCGATAACTATATACCCAAGACCAAACCCAGTGCCTCTAGGAATACATGGGGATCCCTACACATAAACCACGCAGCGGTCGCTAAAGTTAAGAAGAAAACCCAGAAATTCAAGATGTGGGTTGGGTCAAATGATGAGCAGGACAGGAGGATGTATGCAAGAGCCAGAAACCAAGCAAAGATAATGTGTAGAAGGGCTGAAAAGGAGTTCCAGAGGCTGGTTGCAAGCGAGGTCAAGTAAAACCCAAAGGCGTTTTACCGCTATGCAAAGTCGAAATTAAAAACGCGAGTAGGAGTATCAGACCTGAGGCTTGAAGATGGTAGTTACGCAGATTCTGACCAGGATAAAGCTAAGGCATTGAACAGCTTCTTTTCCTCGGTGTTCACAATAGGATGTGATTAACCTTCCTGCGTTTGAGGACAGACGGTGCGACACAGCACTGACCCACATTGTGTTCACAGAAAAGGGTATTAGAAATAAACTGTCAAAGCTAAAGGTCCATAAGAGTCCCGGCCCTGACATGGTGCATCCTAGAGTGCTAAGAGAGTTGGGCAACGAGCTTGCCGAGCCCCTGAAGATCCTGTTTTGTAAATGCCTGGATGAACAAAAGGTCCCCAGTGAATAAAAAGTGGCTTATGTGAGTCCTATCTTCAAGAAGGGCGGTCGTCACTCCACGAACAACTATAGACTGGTGAGCATGACCAGCATAATATGTAAAGTACTTGAGAGTATTATCAGATATGCCACAATGGAACATCTACTACGAATCACCCTTGTAAAAGATTGCCAACATGGTTTTATGCCGGGGCGCTCCTGCTTAACACAATTGCTCAAGGTATTGGATATTTGGACCCATATTCTGGAACGGGGTGGCAATATCAACAATATTTACCTTGATTTTGCCAAGGCT